TATCTCAATGCCACTATTGCGAGGCAAATCACATTACTTCAGCATCATTTGTCTTATCGGGAACATGCTTAGTACTGTTCGATTAGATAAGCAGTGGAACTCTGACGTTTTCATTAATTTAAGGGAGAAACAATGACCATGAAGAAAAGATGGTCGGCCGCCGGGGATCATCAGGGAGTCATACAAAAAGTTAGAAAATGTGGCTTTTACTTCTCGCGTTCTGTTTAATATATTTACAGTAAAGGATAGCAGTAATACTCAGGGATAGATAAACAGGATGAAACCCAGTTCTTGAAGTTTCAAGATATGAAGTTTTTTTGAGCTGCATTCCCCGGAGGGAGAGTGTGCGAAGATGAACATGACGAGCTCGAGATGAGTATACTAATTCTCAACTGAATCGAACCTTGCCTGGGGAATGTCAGTGGAAGCAGGACGTGAACTTAGATTTTTCCATTCTTCGAGCAAGTTCATGGCCTTCTGATAGCGCTTCTTGGCATTCTGCACTTCATCAGTCAAAGTGTTTTCAACCTTTTCTCGCTTGGCTATATCTTCTTTCAGCATTTTTATAACCTAGAAAGAGATTACACCATTTGAAATCACTAACCAGATAATCACCCAACCTGCAGATTCTCTCTATTCTCATCTTGCACTCTTTTTTCCAAATCAGAAATTTGTTTCTGGTAGTGCGCGCATTCTTCATTACGATCTTTCAGTTCCGTTCTGCTGTTGAACAACTCTTCGCGTCTACAAAACAGTATGTGAAATTCTCAAGGATAAAATTCAAACAACGCACACAATCGCCATATGATCGTAGATCTCTACTATTTCAGCTTTGGCCGAACGAGCGCTTGATTCAGCTTTTTCTCGCAGTACACGATCTTTGCGTGCAAGTTTCAGAGCTTCATCATGAGCGAATCTGAAATTGAAAAAAGGAAGCATTTCACTGCAGTTTGATTGAATAAACTGAAAACACACGACACCAATAAACTTATTGATTGAGAGCTCACCGCAAAAGCTGTAGTGTTCGTTTCAGATCGGATATGGCATCGTTTGCAGCATTGAAATCTATACTTTGATTTACCTGTTCGTTCGAGCTCTGCGCTCTCTGCTCTAAGACATAACGAGCACGAGACTGCAAAAGAAAAACCATCCCGTAATGAACATGATGCAAAAGTAGAAGCACTAAAATGTTACTGTCACATAAAAAAGCACTCACCTTGTACGACTCATAATCATTCCCCAACTCTTCGAGTCGAGCTTTTAGTAAATCCCTTTCGTTGATGGCAATTCGCAGTTCATTCTGTTTTTGTTCGTGATTTTTTCGCAGCCTTGGGTTAGAGACACATTTGCAACAAGGGTTCTTTACAAGCTTACATTTCCACAAGCACTTCATTCTGCCCAATTTTCTCCTCAAACGCTAATCGCTCATCATTTCTAGCAGCTGCCAAGACACTGAAATTATCCTGAAGGCGATCCAGCGAAGTTTGTAAGCTGGCTGTGCGCTGCTGTTCATCTGAAAGATTATTCAGTAGAGTGCAACCATTTTGCTTCTGACATACTGACAATGAAAAGGAGGATTGAACAGCTCCTGGTAAGTAGATAACATTGTTTTCTTCAAATCAAAAATGTGGACACCGGGACTAAGAGGGTGGCTCCTGCCGCTCATTTATGAGCAGCTGATTAGTCCAAACGAGCCACCTGCAACGCTCTCTGAGGCGGCGCTTTCAGTCTTTCGACGAGTCTTCTTGGGAATGTGCTGAATCCATAATTGCTTTCTAGCTTCTAAAATGTGATTAAAGGCAGCGTCCAGGCAGAATTGAGCATTCTGGGAT